TCAGATGGCTAGATGGTATTACCCCTTTTTGCTATGCATTGCCAAATTTGGACTTGTAATTTCCAAACTCGATTGGCACGATGAACTGGTGAGAGCGCACTAAATCACCGTACTTTTTTACGGTATTACCCCTTTTGGCTATGCATTGCCAAATTTAAATTTGTAATTTCCAGATTCGATTGGCTCGATGAACCTGCACTTAGCATCTGCCCGACACACAATTGCTGATTGGACAAAAAAAGTGTGACACGACGCGAAATAATATTGACATACCCGCCCTTCGCTGACGGTCTAACTGTGTGTACCCGTCAATAATGCAAAGCATAACGACGAAAATAAACTATTATGCACTATAATCATTCCTCCTATATTATATAAAACATATAAATTTATTATTCAGTTAAATACCATAGTCCTAGAGCAAGGAACATAGAGTTGGCCATCTACGTAATTTAAAGTTTGACATCTTGTGCCTTATTATTATTGATGCATTTTTCTGCGTTACGCTGTATGCAATAGTGTCGTGCAAATGCAATGTCCGTCCACCGTGCAGAAATCCAATTTTTTTAATAAACTGTATATATCGATATATAGATTAATATTGTCAATGTAACTGACTTAACATATTAATATGCAATTGCATCATTATTATAACATTATTCTAAGCGTGTATCTATGTACTTACTAACAGAAGAATGCAGAATGGGCTATGAATCAAAGGCCAAAATTATTGTTATTACGGTATATTAGTACCCGGGTATGTATAAATCAAAATCTGCCTTCTGAAACTGGTGGAGGGTACATCTCATTGGGGGGTTAAATATGTTGGAGTTTTACGGTAAATTTTCATGAGCGTACTTGCTTTGTTCCAAAGCCTTAGTGATTTGATGTTTTTACAATTGAAAAAGCGATCGTCTTTGGAGTTGTATACAGTCGACCTCCCATACAGTCACACTGTCGGAATGACCAAATACATATGTAATTCGTTAAGCCTTGAGTTATTGAGCAGATATTAGTTTACCTAGAGATAACGTAGTTGCATGGATAATGAAACAATTGCAAGTTTGTAATTTGATGACGCATGAAGCACTATATACACGTGAGAGAAACAGATATGCCGCATCAATAATGACATTACAATTTTGACATATTTAAAAGCTCTGCCCTTGCTCTCCATATTTACTATTACAGTGCCATCCGTGGATACATTGGTTGCCATTGTCTAGTTGTTATATATATTAATAATATTAATGGCAGGTATACAATATAAACACGTGGACAGGACGAAATAGAAAGTTAAAAACGTGACTTAAAACGTACACATGACCTATTACTATCTAGAATGTGCTGTTTGCTGCGCTTGATAGCAAGCAGAGTAAACCCAAACACCACCCAACAATACTGGCGATCTCGAACAGTTAGTCGCGATCTTTAGATACAAGCTACTAGATCACTTACAAGTCAAGACGATCTAGTAATTTATTACAAGAAATTCTTTAGATCGCTCGTTAGACATGGCTAAGAAACGTTCAGAGTCTTTGAAGCAGGCTCTGGCTATTCCGACAACAAATAAACCTATTACGGAAGACGATTCTGGTTCGCTACTAAGCTACAAGAACAGGTATTTAATGCTTTAACCATGTGAACTTATTATAATATATGATTTTAGACTGTAACATATCATATACAGCGGAGTTTCACTACTCTCGCTGACACAGTCTCGACAAGCCTGGACGACATCAGCTTTTCGTAGATTTTCGCACAAGCAAGAAATAGAGTTTAAACCGAAACTTCCTGACAAAACAAATCCTAATCCACAACTCACCATACTCGGGAAATGCACCATTAACATTGGGCCGCACACTTTCCGAGACACTCGCTTGATAGAGGTCGTATATGAAAAAATTCGAGATCCTGTTGAACAAAGTGCACTCGGCACGACACAGTTATCTACACAAATGCAAAATCAACCAGAGCATAAGCCATCACAACCACCTCCGCCCATTGCCATAAGGCCACATATGAGAGTACAACCACAGACCCCAACACCCATTGCACCACAAGCAAGTGGGAAACCACTTATTACTACTTTGCAACGAATAAGACCAATAGCCGCATCGCCTGCGACTACTGCCACTTCTACTAACACATTGTCGACTACTCCGACTTTACAGGGCACTCAGATAACCGCGTTCATGCAGACAGTAATGCAGTCTGTAAATCCTAACCAGATAGTGCAACTGCAAGGCTTACTTAGACAACAGCAATCGGGAATACCGTTGAGTTCAGAGCAAAGGAGTGCGTTGCTACAGCAGCTGAACACGTTACATCAGTTGCTCAGTCTAGCACAACCACAATCGCCGTCACAACCGCAATCTCAATCGCAAGCGCAAGCGCAACCACAGTCACAATCACAACCACAATCACAAGTACAGCAACAATCGGCAGTGCCGATACAGCCGCAGACATCGGATCAACTACAAATACTACAGCAATCACAACGTCAGTCAACTCAGTTACAGCAGTTTACTACACATTCGGTAGCATCTATTTCCAGACAACAGTCGCCGTCAATCAAACCTAGAGAGATTGTGCGTCACGACGTTCTTCTCGAGTTTAAAGAGAATAGATGTGATAAATGGTTGTTTCCCAAAAATGCTATTTTGGAGGCTATCACAATATCTGAACCATACGAGGCGAGTGCTACTTCGATGTGTATATTAATAGAAGATCTAAGTAGGGCTTACTAGTCAATGGTTTCATTATACATTATACTTGTTTCCACATCGTTGCTGATTCAGTTATTACGATGTTCAGGTGCTGGCTAGCTTCTATCTTCCAGATTCTGTAGACAAGCCAAGTTCGCGGCAGAAGTGTCAGGCAGTCACAATGCAATTGTCTAATCTCACGCAAGTCATGTGGGATGCATTAAGGAAATCAACAAACGACATCTCTGCAGTCTACAAATCTATGGTTGAAAGAGTAAGCGATTAAGTCGATTAGGAGAGAATATTTGACGAATTTCAAAGATTCAGAACAACTAACGTAGTTTGTTATATGATATTAGGCAACGCATCAACCCAATCGAGTATACGTTCAATACCGACTGCCTTGCGATTATCCTGAAGAGCTTCTTGAGGTATCAATTAATAGCTTCGATCGGTGCATCAGCATGAAAATAACGATAGTAATAAATTGTGTTTTATTTAAAGAGTTTTGCAAATAGAGTAGCAAGATTAGATGGAAGATTGATTATAGACACTGTATCAGGAATAACAAAGGGTGAGCGAAAGCGAAAAGCTGATAAAGGAAAAGCTGACGCGAACGTAGAAGCTATCTCAAAAGACGAGAAAAGTAGAGGAAAACAGAAAGAGAAGGAAAAAGAGAAGAATGAGGATGAACAGTCAGATAGTGTATGTGTTCATATGCTTGTAACAATTGATGTTTATGATTGCTGCATTTATCTAATTTTATCTTATATTAGCCCGAACAGTCCCCCCCAAAGAAAAGGAAAAACTCTACAAAGGCATCTGAAGGTATTCATATTATACTCTTGAGTTTCGTCATTAATATGTCTTTATCATGTGAATACTATAAAATCATCCATACTGTTCATCTCTAGTACGATCACCAAAGACATCTTCAAGCACTCCCAAAAAAACCAAATCTACGCAGGAGGCAAACTCGTCATCCCCTGCAATATCCCAAACGCTCAGCCATGCATCATCCAGTGGTAGTAAAAGGTGTGCGTATTGTGGAAGCAAAACCACTCCAATGTGGAGACGAGGACCGGATGGTGCTGGTACATTATGCAATGCCTGTGGAGTAAAATGGAAGCAGGGCAAAATAATAGTAAAAGCCACTGGCGCATCAGCCAACACAAACAATGATATGCAGCCGCAGCCACAGACGGCTACTAAATCTAGGAAACAATCAGTATCGGCTGGTTCCGCTTCTACCACAACGACAAGGAAAAAGAATACACGATCAACGAGTGTAAGTGAAGGCGGTGCATCGCATACTGATGAGGATGATAGTCGAGTCCAGAGCGGTACAGCTAGGCCTTCGGTTCGGAGAAGGACGTCTACGTCAGTCAAGAGAGCTGCTTCTAAGGCTGAATCATCCACAACGGGAACAAGTGGAGCGTTATTGGCTGCTCATTCATCACTTACGGGAATTTTGGGAGGTGATATAGTGGATTCACCGGATACAAGTACACCTGAAATTTCGAACAGTCCCTTGCGATCACCTGGTTATCAGCACAGCAGTACATCTATTCCGGCAGTATCATCTATCATTCCACAGCCCCGCGCTCAGCCGAATACTTCAATGATTTCGATATATCCTTTTAATCTGAAGTTGTTCTCTATATCATTTGGTCCAAACAATGCACACTTTATGCAGCCGAATTGTTCGGTAGCCCTACACCAGGAATACTTCAAAATAAAATTAAGCAAAGAAGGTTTCGATAGGACATCCATCGACATATGGAAAGATACTATTGAGGACATTCAATACTCATCTGAGATTGATTCGGCCACAAGATCACCCTTGTTGGTCTTCAAAGCAAACGTTGGACAATATTTAACAAGGTAAAAAAAAAGTGTTAATATTGATAATTACCAGTTGAATATTTGGCAGTCAACGAGTCATGCATAATCTAATATTGTATATTCAGTGTGTAATTCCAATATTCTTAATAATAGTATTGTTTATAGACGAAATTATTAGTGTATATTCTGTTAACACATTCAAATTCTTCCCTTTTTCTTCCAGATTTGATCAAGAGCTCCTTAGTCCAGATCGAAACGAGACGCTTGTCATATTTAAATGTGTTAATATGCCAACCATAGGAGACAATTCTGGAGCCAATGATCTTAAAGTAATATTGCAAAGTTGGTTTGTCAACCAGTCTTAGATTTGGGAACATGGACATATGGAGCAACATTATCTCCATAAAATTTCAAAACTGAACACAAAATACTCTAATAAATCAATAATGTAGAAAGAATAGGTAGTAAATTATATATAATTCACTACATCTGGATGTAATAATTTAGTATTTTCTCTTGTCTATGCTACATATACGAAAGTATCCTTGTTTTCTTTACTTTTTCCAATGTACTGCTTGTCTAATAATTGGTCCAAACAATTGTCAATCATTTGTATGTCGGGAGAGAAGCGTGACTTTGCCTGGTCAATAACCTCACTAACTAGTTGGGCATGAGTCAATACACGGCGAGACTTCATCACTCTGACAATTATAGCCTAAGATAAATACATATAATTGTTAGTCTAGAATCATCTACAGGCTGTTGTCATTGAACCGAAATTAAGCTGTAAATTACAGTTCGGTTTAGCCAGATAGTGGCTATTTACAATGAAGGTATAATACCTGTATATAAAATTTTCTATCTTCGTAGACAGATCTATGAGTGACGTCTGATTCCTGCGAACTGTCACTTTGCAGAGACGAAGTTATTTTGATCTTTGTTCTTTTGCTGTAATAAAAACCAAACAATTGGATAACATTATTAACTTTCTCATAGCGGCCAATGAAAGATAACGATTGAAACACTAACTTTGTGAATTTCATATTCAATCGAAGCTCGCTATCATCAGTAATTGCGCCTGGTTCAACTATAAATACTGCGAGATCTACTAACGGCTAGAGGAGTGGGAAAACAAAATGCATTGAGAACCAAGCAGCTTGAGTATGATTTCATACGTATAAACCAGTAGCTTACTTTAATAATTCTCTTCACTTCGGCATCATTTAATCGAGTGTGTTCTTTGATGTCTTTTAGTGCCAATACATCAACATTATTAAATAGAAGCAATACTCCCAGTTGATGTAATGATACAGAGAATTCATATCTTCTGTCGAGATAAGTCAATTTGACGTCAGCTAAAAGGCAAAGTAGAAAATCAGCGCACAAATCCTAATATATAATCACGTAATAGAATTAAAATGTCTTACCTTTTGATAAATGCCATAGCCATGTCAGTTTCCTCCCACTGTGATGATTGTTGTAGAACGTGGTGAAGTAGGATACGCTCTTTTCTAACTGTCAGATGACATACACATTATGAACATGATTTACTTATTAATTCAATACGATTTTATACTTACTTCAGATGGTAATTGAAATTCAAGAGCTGCTATTTGAGTCAGTGGCCATGCGCCGGCGGTCAACACAAGTATCCCGAAATCAACTATAACATCGATCATGACAACGACTTAGAACCGATAATTATATATTAATAAATCCACGGTTTGTTTATCTTACCATCAAGTGAGAGCGAACTTTGACGGAGGAAATCGTTGAAGTTGTTGTTAATGTCGGTACTGACTGTGACGTCTGTGAACATACGCTGCAATTTACCAGTATATTCCACTCCACATATAACCTATTAAAAAAGAACGTTTTCGCGGGTAGTGTTATTAGATGTGTAATTACCCAGGTTAATGATCAAGTCAGGTATGCTTAAATATAACACTGTTTTCGATCGAAATTGGCAGCGTTAAATATGTGCATATCCATGGGTACTTTATAGTTAATGTATCGTCTAACCTTCAATCTTGATATCATGTTGCCTTCTGTTTCCTCAGATGAAGAAGTGTTATAGATAAGCCTCTTCGCTAGCATGCGAGAATAAAACTTCTGGAATATATCTTTATCATCAACATATTCTAAAAGTATAATCTAATATGTTATAAATTTAACGAATAGTTATTATCAATAATAATGTGCTATGATACTTTAGCCATCATTATAATGAATTTTACCGCTTGGCTTAATCTCTCTTCGACATCATTCTCAGTGAGACCAGCACGTTGATTCTTCCTCAACATATAGTCACAATACCTAGCGAGCACTTCTGGAGCGAGTGCAGCTGGATTAATAGACGAATCATTGACTACAGTGCGGAATGCTTTGTCCAGTGCAGCAACAAACGCGGGATCATTAGAAAAGACTTTTTGACATATGCGGAAATACTTTGTATGCAGTGATACTAATGATTCCACATAGTCACGAGAATCCTGATAAACAGTAGACAGGGTATTAATATAGTAATGATAATAATAATACTGTAGAATTAAAATAACCAGGTGATAGTACCGGGCTGCTCATACCTTTGCTATTGAGTTTCCCATATTTATTATCAGTTTCTTTCCAAGGTTTGCCACATATTGTTCAAAGGTCTCCAACAGTTTGCTAACTCCGCCAGGTATACGCGATAAAAGAGTATAAGCTAACGAACAATCTATAAATTCACCGATGTTGAGTATATTATTACGAATACGTTTTGTACGTTTCAAATCATCGCTTGTTAGAAATTACCTTCATATTTCTCATTAGCTACCATAGACTCAAACTCAGCGTGAATACGTGATTGGTATAAGGCAACATACTGGGTCTCACATTCTTTTATTATCTGGAAGCGGTTATTTGGTCAGCGTAATTATCCACCAAATATCCAGTTTCGCGAATATCAAGATATAAGCATAGCTTACTGTATCATGTGATGTATGATGGCAATATTTACTGTTCCTGGCTGCCTCTTGTTCCAATCTCAGATGTGCCTAATTGATTGGGGATGATTATTTTTCAGCCACCTTTTAATATCATTCTCTCAATCTCACCATACCTGCTTCATGTACTCGGAAATGCTCTTGCTGGAAATAAATGCTGCAGCTTCTCGTTCATAATACTTTTTGGTCTGCTTTAAGTACGGATTCTCGAATTCCTCAACGTATAAATACAGCGGTCGGTCTGTCAAGTAATTCAATTGAACTGTCGAGAAAGCAGTATAGTTGGTGGGGGGCGAAAGTGAGGAAATAGATCACTGATAGGAAATTAATACTTAGTTCTAAGATGAACAATTAGAAGATTGTGTAATATTGATAGGATAAAGAGCCAAGAAAAGAAATAATGGAGTGAAAGTGCTCGATGAACAAATGAATAAAAGAAAAGCCATATACATAATAGAGCACTGCAATATTAGTACTGCAAAGGCATATGATTAAATAAGACTAGGTATGACGTAGCCATTTCTCCCAAGTATGTCAGTTCCGATAATCAAATTTACCTAATGAAGCGATAGCCTTCTGAACTCCGTCTGGGACACTATCTTCTCCATCGCGATCTCTACAAATCAACTCAAATATCTGATGCATCAAGCGGTTTCCATGAGCAGTCTTGATAGCGTATACAACACGTTCTTTCCAGATATGGTGAGCCAACTGCAGTATAAGAATTAAAGATCAATCCACAAAGTCAACAGAATCTGCGCCAATTCCGAATGTTACAAAACTGGTATATCATATACTGAAAATGCAATATTGTACTGACCGCTTGGATGGTTTGTCTCCTGTACCTCCCATCACCAACAATTTGACGACGCTCTGCACCTGGAATGCCTCCAATGTCTTTTACTTTGATAATGTGGCCATTGAGATAATCGCACATTAGACTTGAGTAATAACTGGCCAGTCTGTAATGCTCCCACTCGGTTGTGTATGCAGTTACTATGTCATCATGCTTCAGAATAGACTGAAATATGTTTGCGAACATTTTAGAGTTGGAATGCATCCCTGGCCACATAAACGCGTATTCCATTAACCACATAGATTGACTCATACCATACGAATTCTCGATGTACAATCTTCCAAGAACTTTGCAATAGCGTTGAACAGCCTCTCGGTATGTGGTTTAGGAGATGCATTACACATGTCATACACCAATCTGTATGCGAATTAACACATTGATAGCAATGGTCAAGGAGACAACGTAAAAGCAACAAGAAAAAACAAATGGATCGAAAAAAGAAAAACGCTATAGAAGTAAAACGAAGGAAATCTGACAAAATGGTAACTAATGACAGCTCGGAAACTTTTCATCTTGGTCAGAGTGAAGGATACTCATGCATATACATCCCAGAGACTTTGTCAAGTCCGCTGAAATCGTACAGTTTGTCTAGATTTCTCTTGAGCTCTTTAAAGGCTTCATCGAAATTGATGCGCTTTGGCCTAAGCGACATCTTACCGTATGTGATTTTATGAAACTAGGACAAGAGAGTATCTTGAACAATTAATATAATAATAATAATGATAATAATAATGATATTCTCTTCACATGATTTGGAATTTCGCGGTAGCTATTTTGTAACACAATATGACCGGGTGACACAAAATTTCGTCAAATTCGCACCCATGTAACGAAAAACTTTACTATGCAACTGTACTTCGCGCATTAATTAAACTTGCTCGCAATATCATTTTATATATATCTGTAACTTGTATTGATCAATGTTCATTTTCTCTGTTTCATGAAACGATTAAAGTCAGTCTAACAGTTTCGCTATTAACAAAATGTGCTTAGAATCTTTGAAATATGTACTGTATGTTCAATATTTATTCGATTTGGATGAGAAATGACAGAGAAACAAATTTAAAAGCATGGTTTATTAAAAATATATGAGTGTAAGATTAGTATTTGGTAGAATTTCCTTTACTTTGCGCAATCCTTGCTTCACTTAACCCACATTTTCAAGCACCAATTATCTCTCCGCGTTAAAAAAGAGTAAGTTCTGATCGAGTTCCATTGGTTTGTAAAATAAACAACTGACAGATAACAGCAAACGCGAAAACTTTACATTCGCGTATGTAACATACCCTGCTTAGTATTACGGGGATCAATTTGTTTCTCATCCAAATCGAATAAATATTGAACATACATATTCCAAAAGATTCTAAACACATTTTGTTAATAGCGTATTTGATCTCAACGTAGCTGATTTTGACTTTACAAATAAGCAAAAGTTGGAGAAAAAGTCGGCGAAACTGTTAGGCTGACTTTAATCGTTTCATGAAACAGAGAAAATGAACATTGATCAATACAAGTTATAGATATA